GTGCAGGAAGAGCTCAGGATCATGATCCCAGGCTCCCCTTGCACTGACAATTTGGCGTGATGGGATGCTCAATCCAACAATAGTGGCATGGCTGGAAGCATGATTGTTGGGATTGCACATCACATCCCATCACATATTCTTTTTAACATCTGTAGGCACAAACAGAAGTGACAATTTTCACCCGATTTGCCCCCTGAAAGTGCGCTACAGCTGTGACCAAATACAGGTGCATGGCTGCAGCGCACTTTAAAAGAGCTTGACCCTGCAAAAATCAGAACCCTCGTTGCACGAGGATTGAGATGAATGTGCTCCAAATGGAGTTCCTTCAGTAACTTGTATCTCTGCACGCCATGGCAGAACTGGGCTGATGCAGCCCCAGTGCTGTCTTCAAAATGGGAGGTGGGAGAGTGAGCAGGGGATTTTGGCCTCCCCCCACCACCCCATTCTGAAAACAGTGCTGGGGCTGGGAGTGGGGGGAGGGAGATGTTGCTAGGGCACAGCGGCTGCAGGCCCACAGCTACTCTAAACAGCAGCTTGGTCTCCCAATCGCTGGGACCCAACAGTGAATGTCTGTTGAATCTGGGGGATCGTTGTAACTCATGGCGCTTCACAAGAAGTGCCATGAGTTCTAGTGGGGAGCTGCTTTTCTGTCTGCACGTGGAAGTGGCATGTGTGCTGCATGTGCACACAATCAAAATACTTGCACATCAAAACTCTATGATAGGAGCCGAGAATTATTTGGCCCCTTAAATTGTATCTGCTGTTACTTAGTAGAAATAGCAGGCTTGAAATGAGAGGCTACTTTTGAAAAGTAGGGTTTTTGCTTTACTTTAGTAGGCAGAAAAAGTAGGTGGGATTAATGCTGCAATTTCCAATAGGAGAAGCAAATACTTGTTTTGTTATTGTTTGTTTTCACTTTCTGTAGTTAATATACATCCTTACATGGTTGTGTTGCAGCCTACCAAAGTTATTTTCAGTTTATATTCCAGGATGTATCACAACATTTCCTTAAATATGACAGCTGCAACTATCCCATTGGGTGTTTTGACACTCAAATTGGAGCAGACCTGACTGAATGCTGCCGTACCTGGTCGAATTTATACTGAGTTCTCAGAGCTTTTGGTTGATTCCTCTTCTGCTTATTTTCCTTTCTCAGGCTCTCTGCTTGAACACAGTTAAATGGCTCAACACAAAAAATAAATTTAAATCATCCCCCTCATAGAAAAAAATAGGATTGTGTTTATTATGGCAGTGAAGATTGGTTTGTCAAGGCTTTCTTAATGCCCTTGCATCTGAATCAGTTGAATCATGAACCTGTCATACTTCTGTATATCCTTTTTTTTAGTTTCTGATGAGGTTAATTTAGAACTCCTCTAAAAACTGGGATGAGACAAAATAGCCTTCCATTTGACAAAAACAGAGTTTATGGCTTTGCTGGGTGGGAAGATTGTAGCTCAGAGAATTTTTTTTTTTTTTCAATTCACTACTGAAAATGCTGTCACTTAGAATTTTGTTACTGTACTTATGGCAAAATGCTATGCTAAATACACACAATCCAATTCATTAATGCTTGTTCTTTGTAAAAAATATTGTACTGTTCTACAGTGATGATCACAGGCACTACTGTGTACAGTAGAGCTCCTATGGGATTTTTTATTATTACTGTACAATACAGGGGCCATATCCCATATGTAGAATCTGCCTTTTGCAGTCCTGTTGACTTAATTGGGACTTCACTCAGACAGATGGAGAGCTCTGTTTTCATTATTGGTATTGTAGTGCAGTACTGTTCCTAGGAAGCATGTACAAAATATGTATATAAAAAAATGGGATTAAATTATGCAAATTGCATAAGGCTCTGTACTGATTGTTTATAGCAATTTAGATAGCCTTTATTGCCATTGTATCTAATTGCTATAATGCAGACTCTCAAAAATATGTAACTGTGCAAAGCTCCCTATGATGTGTATCAGAACACTATTACCAATACAGAATCCCAAGCTTAATAAGAAATGAATTGCTGGGAGTTAATAAATGAAATAAAATGCAAAATAATCAAATAAGAAAATAAAGTGTCAGAATCTTCAGCATTGGAATGTGGGAAATTCAGTGAGTGGTACCTCATTGCCACTAGGGGAAAGGAGGTTCCTTAGCTAAGGCATTGCCCATATAAGTGGCCTGGGTCCTATGTGCCTAATGGACCACTTTCACCCTTATATACACTGCAATACCTAAGGTCAGCTGAGAGCTACTTCCTATATGCACCAGCTCTGTGTTAAGCTCAGTTGATGAAAAAATATGGGAATTCATTCTATGTACCCCATTCCCCTTGAGGACATCTTCTGGAAGCTCTGTAAAACCTTATTTAAGCCCATGTTCAGCAGGCAGGGTTAAGTTTTGGCATATTGTCTGGGGAATTCTTTTATTATTTATTTTATCGGGTTTTTTAATTATATTTATTATAAGCCACCCTGAGTCTTTTGGGTGGGGAGGGCAACATAGATGTCAAATACATAAATAAACAACCCCCAAACAAATGTCCTCACCTCGGGAAATGGAACCATAATGCACATATCCTTCCTGTGTCAGTGGGGGGCCAAAAGTTTTTGCGGGTGTACCGCAACTTAACCCTGCACTATCCCTGAGTGCCAGTCTGATTCCCTTTCCCTGTGCAACCTGCTGCTCTGTTTTTTGTTCCTTGCCCTGCCACCGTTCCACTTATTCCCTCCCTGATCTGCTGGATGCAACACACACAGGTTGCCCATGCCACACAAAGCAAAGAGGCCTCATGTTTAAAACTGTTTTTACAGACTAAGCCCTTGTCTTTATGACATGTAGGGTCAGCCTGGAAGTCCCACTGGAGGATGTCCCACCTGCCCATGTCTCATTTGAAAAAAAAAAACTGTGGGCTGAACAGAAGTTTAGTTTCTCCAGGGAGAGTCCTTGCTCTCTCTGGAGAAACCACAAGTATATAAAAAAATTATATTTTTTCTCCCAGAGTAAAAGTGGCTGCTCAGGAAGAAAAATAACTTGGGAACAATTCGAGTGAAGTGGCTTCTGGGAAAATATCTCCCAGGAGACAGAACTTCTGTACAGGCAGCAGATGCAGAGCCAGCCTCCACAGTCCCAGTGTGCTTTGCTTCTCCCTTGCCGTGTCCCACATGGGGAGGGACAGCATGTGTCAGTCACAGCCAAGCAGGGAGCAGAACATGTCTCCGTAGTGCTTGGGCCTGGAAAAGCCAAGCCCTGAAACCATTAGGGGGGTGTCTTCTGCTACTGGTTTGTTCCCTTTTGGAATCGCACATGGGTGTGGGGAAGCATACAAGCATACACCCTGCCCAGCCTTAGCTGGGCTTCAACACAGCTCTGGGGAGGGGAAAGCCTGAAGGGCTCTTTTGTGCATGGCACAGTGCCCACCTCCTCTTACCCTGATGATCCCTGCTTGCATTCACTTAAAAAAAACCCAAAAAATCTCTGCAAAGCTCTCTTCTGGGCCATGTGCTGTCGGGCCCCTGGCTGCCCACCATCCATAGGGCAGGGGCTTTGCTTCTCTGTCTGAAAATTGTACAAGTCAGTTTTTCTCATAGGAGAGCAAACCTGGAAGATTTGTCCTGCATGACTTGAACATATGTGTGCAGCCTGTGTAACTGGTTTAGTGCAGGCTTGGGTACACACCCAGAGCCACTCTCGGTCTGTCTGCCTCGTGCTTCTTATTGTGTGCTCAAGGCTGTGCTACACTGCTACTTTCTGAGCTTGGGCAGACAGGATATGCTTCTAGCAGCGTCGCCAGTCTCCCCACAGAGGCAGTGTAGTGTGCCTATCTCTGCAAGACCCGATTAGTGAGACTCCTTGAGAGCAGAATCAGGTCCTGATTTTGCTAGGCTTCTGCAGGCTTTGTGGTTTCTGTGCATTTCCTCCTCTTTTTTAAAAACTGTAATATAATGCTTGACAATTCTGTGTACCATCTTCTTCAGGAATTAGACCTCTGTCCTTTATTTGGATCCTCACAGGCATAAGCATCCCTCTCGGCGTAGCTGGTTGCAGAATCAAGGTCATGATATGAAAGAGTTTTTATAAACAGAGTGGAGACATTACACTTTCAGATTTGGCCGCTTGGCCCAAATAGTGACGCAAAGGAGAAATCTTACTGCTCATTGTCTCCTGCTTCTCCCATGCAAACTATTTACACCACTTCTGGGTATAATATTGCTCTTGTCTTATCTAATTTCATAAGTTACATCTGGATCTACATTTTGTAACGTTGAGCAGCTTTTAATAGTGTGTTCCGGCCATTTTTGCTTCTTGGTTCATACGTGTTTATGCTTCAGTAAAATAGTTTGTCTAAATAGTTTGGTTGCTGGTAGTAAGTAAAGTATTTATGAATCAATGATATGTTTATGGTAGCTTAAGAGTGGTGTTGTAGCTGTGATGGTCTAAAAATTATGCAAGAAGGAAGGATTTCTTAGGATGATGTCTTTTACTGGACCAACTATGTAGCTGGGATAAAGTTACCATTTGAAAGCTTGTTTAACTTTATCCCAGCTACAAAGTTGGTTCAATAAATAATGTATTTACTCAAAGAAGTGGTTTTTACTGTGTCCTCTAATACTCAGATTATGTTTGATATGATATATTTTTGACAAAGATAATCGTAATCTAAGGCTGTCAACCAGGATTTAAGCCTCGTAAGTGGTTGCTGTGGTTTGCCTAGTGGTGATTGCCTTCCAGAGCCTGAGAATAATGTGCAAGCTCTGAAAACCAGAGAGGTGTTTTTTACCCATGGAATTTTGTCTTTTTTTTAAAAAACAAAACAAAAACGCCTATAAAGCCACTCAGGTTCCTAGTTAACTCTTGCCCAATTTCCTCTTTGATATTAGGCACAAAATCCATCCAACAAAATCCAGGAAACAATTTTTGAGCAATATTTTCTGAATTTTGAGTTGTCTTTTTCTTTCTACTCAATCTATACATTCTTCTTAACTATGTGCTTTTATTTTTAGGGATCAGCAGATTCATACACCAGTAGACCTTCAGATTCGGATGTATCTCTGGAGGAGGACAGAGAAGCAATCCGCCAGGAGAGAGAACAGCAAGCAGCCATTCAGCTTGAAAGGGCAAAAGTGAGTGCTTTCTCTGTCTTTAATAATAGCAGGTTTGTACATTATTTTGTGACATGGCAGCTTTTGCATGGTGTTTGGACTCGCACCACAGGTTTATAATGATGATAGTCTCATTAGAAAATAGTTTGATAACCAATGGAAGTACAAGATACTAGAGGGGGAAACGCCAAATATTTTCACAAAGAAGTTATTACTGAAAGTGGGGAATGAAATTATTCTCCTTCAATCCTGTTGAAGTCAGTAGGGGTCCAGAGTATTGTGTGTGTGGCCAGCCTGCCAGGCATGCTGCAAAAACATTATAAACTGACTCTGGAACCAAAGCTGCACAGCCATATTCATGCAATAGCTCACTCCAACAATTCTGTTCTCAATTCAGGAGCTAACATGGGTGGAGCAGCCCAGCATCTCAGCACAACACTGCGTGATGCCACAAGGAGATTCAGGAATTTGGCCAGTCTCGTCAGTCCTCCTCCCCTATCTGCCTTTGAATCTTACCTGTAGCACTTCATTGCCCATTGGTTAATGGAAATTGGCACCTTAGAACATTAGAGCGGTATCTGTAAGAGGGGAACTTTATGGCATTTCCAGGTCTGTGTGGTACCCCCTGGAAGGAGGAGTTCGCTTTCCTTAGATATGTCATACCAGAGGCTGAACACTCATGCTCAGTTGTCTGCTGTGAACAAATCCTGCAGTTCAACTTTGGACACAGTATAAGAATGCACAGCTCTGTTCCTGGCTGGTGTGGAGTGAGGCCAGTTTGTTATGTCTGGATATGGCCTAATGTACTATGCACCATCAGTAGATTATTTTTTTGTTCAATACAGTTAGCATATTAACTCTTAAATCTGAAAAGTACAATAACATTTCTACAACATGCTTGTTACATGTATTTCTATTTCTAGTCTAAACCTGTAGCATTTGCTGTTAAGACTAATGTGAGTTACTGTGGAGCACTGGATGAAGATGTTCCTGTCCCAAGCACTGCCATCTCTTTTGATGCCAAGGACTTTCTGCACATTAAAGAGGTAACTCCAGGATGCAATTATTCCTTTTACCAGCCAACAAGTAAAACCTGAGAAGTCAGATTTGAGCTGCACAAGACAAAAAAAGAAAGCTTAATATCAGCCAGCACTGCATTGAACATCTGTTTGATTAGCAGTGGCTCCCAGGATCATTTGTCATTATCAAAGCTGTAATGCTGTAAGGCTATCTCTTGTGCTATTAAAAATGTGAGGTTACAGATTTACTGCCAGGTCTTAGAAACAAGATGGGAGATCATATCCTAGTTAGTATATTTAAAACCCACTTGAAGTTGTTGTGTTCAGATTCTGTACTTCAAAACAAACCTGTCAAGTGGTGAGCTTGAGACTAAGAGTAGGTATCCTGGGAGTGAAAAGGAAGATGTTAATCCAGTCAGGTCTACAAACTACTCTGGAGAGACTCTGTAAGAGAAAGAAAAGGTCTAGAATGAGCATTGGGGGGAAATATCTCAAGGAAAGCAGGAGGGTTAGGGTTGGGAGAAGGAAAACCCAAAAGCTAAGAGAAAAAGGGTGCTGCCAGAGGTGACACTGTCATGTGATCAGCCCGCTGAAAGTGCTCTACAGCTATGCTGTGACAGAAATGAATGGCTGTAGAGTGGTTTAAAAGTGACTGATTGTGCAACAAATGAACTGTCACGTATTGAAGGATCAGATGGAGGTGCTCCAAAGCGGAACACCTTCATTTAACATCTGTCAGTCCCTGCACACAATCAGGGCTGGATTGATGCAGCCCAGCCCCTCTCCTGATGCTGTTTGCAGAAAGTGAGGGGAGATGAAGGAGGTGTAATGTGCTGTGGGCTGGGGTTTGGCCAGCCTCAGCTGGAAGGGAGGCGAATAGATTGGAGCACCCTCGCTTTGCAGCTCACCCCCAACCCCATCCCCCTCCAGCTCAGGCTGGGCAAACCCCGGCCCTCAGTGCATTACCCCTCCCTCATCCCTGCTCCCTTCTTGCAGACAGAACCAGAGCTGGGAGGAGTGGTGGGGCTAGGGAAGAGAGGCTGTAGGCAGGCAACTCCTCCCCTGGATCAGCTCAATTTCCCCCCTCCCCCACAACAAAACAGTGAATGGACATTTTTCACTGTACATTGGGAATATTTCCCACAATTTTTTAAAGCCGTCTACAGTAAACCCCCAAATGTGCATGTTCACCTTTTCACAAGTGTATTGTTGTAATATCTGCAAATGACCAAGAATAGCAATCTCCACTTCTTTTATGAAACACACAGCTCTTTTACTTTATTTTACGAATTTAGCATTCCAAGTTCAAAATCTGTCTATGGGAGTTAAAATCTTCATAGCAAAATTTGCCGTGGGCCAAGAGCACTGTCCTGCACTGGGGCAAGGCAAAGTAACCACACTCCACCCCAGAAGAGAACCACCAGAGAATATGCCTCTTTCCTGAGATGCCTGACATGTCAGAGAAAAGCACCTGCTCTCATATCATTCAGTGGATGCAGTTTGCTACTTCTGTTGCACCAGGCCCCTTATGGAGTTTGTGCATAGGACGAGGTGGAGGAATTTTCATCATTGCTTCACATGCTACAGAGTGCTTTTATTGAAAACGTATTGTCATCTTGCAGCTAGCTTGTGCATGAGTTGTGTGAGAAGTTGTCTGAGAAGAGCCACTGCTGGCTGTGAGGAGCATTTAGCAAGTGGACAGTTCGGGTGATCCCCTCATTCTACATCCCTCTTTGGGTGAATGCAGATGGAAATTGATTTCCTTGCAGTTATTGTAAGAAATATTTACATATCTGCTAAGATAGAGGCAGGATGGAAACCTGAAGCTACTCGTCTGTTCTGCACTGAATTTGTTCCCCAACAAGAACTTGTTCTGACAACTTAGCTCCATGACTGAATTTTCCAGCAACCCTCACAAGGCTGACTCCACGCACCCCGCAGTTTCTAAACTTGCTATGCAGGATATCCAAAGCAGAGAGCAGCTGGCCTCATAGGACAGATGGATTTCAGACACCTAATCTGCTCTCTTTCTGAATCATTTGAAGATCTCTTTTGCAACCCACCTATCATAGTATTTTCTTAGGGCATTTTTACACATGCAAGTGCTGCAGTACCAGGCTCTATACTTGCAGGTCTATAAGTGGCGAAATGCGTGTCAGCACTAAGAAAATGTCAGCGGCACATAGGAGGTGCTTTAGTTCAAAAAAGCACCACCACCATTTTCTCTGCGCTGACATGCATTTCACTGCTTATACAACTGTACACGGTGCAGCGCATGTGAAGCAGACTCAATTAATTGAGTCTGCTCTAAAACAATGGATCTCCAGCATGTCGCAGGACAAAAAGGTATGTTTATAACTGCCATTAGTTTCTATACCACTTTTGATGCATCTTCCTCATTTCACTACCACCCTTCAGAGATGCTCCACTGTTAAGCCTTATCTACCACCAGCACTCCAAATATTTGCTCTCAGCCGTCAAGGTGCAAAACCTCTCCAGTTAACTTTTGCCTTCGCAAACTTGGTGAACATAATGTCTCCATCTCCCCTCACCGTTCGCTTATCCTTAACCTACATACTCTTTCCAGAGGACTTCTAAACATTTTTTATTTCCTCCCTAATGCAGATGGTCAGCTTCAGATTTCTTGCAACCTATGCTGCCTTCATGCAGGACCTTTTGCTTCCTGAGCTACCTGTTCCCGTCCTCCTTGTCCTTTAAATGCAGGCATTAGCCAGATCTCAATTAGAATGAGAAGGGTTAATCATTATATCACTGTTAACACTAAAATCCTTGGGCTTTTATAGACATGCATTCACTAGCCAATTGCCCTTCAATAATGACAGAGGGTGGGAGGGGGGGGATGGAGCACCTGTACCCACCACCTTGCGCCACTGCTGCATCCCAGGAGCAGGGGGCAGGTAGGGGGGTGGGGGGAAGCTTGCCCCTCTGTACTCCTCTTTCAGCACCCTGCACCGCTCTGCTGGCCTGCCCACCCCCCATCACACCCTGCCCGGTCCTGCTTCTCAGAGGCAGCAGAGTGCTGCCATGATACCATGGTGGTGCTCTGCAGTCTGACTCGTTGTTTCACTAACCAATCAGAGTGGTCCAAGAGCATTATGGACAGACAGACAGATGGACTAAGTCCTTTATTATATAAGTCCTTTATTATATAAGAATATTCAGTGACTAAATTTAACACAAGAGCATGAAACACAATCATGTAATTACAGCATGTCGGAGCAGCCTTGCTGTACGTATATAGGAGCCCTTTGGGTTTTGTTGGATTGTGGCACCGCCTTAAAACATTTTAAGTGTACTTTTCTTCTTTAAGCTTACGTCTACGTAAGACATTGTAGACGACTACACCACACTCGACTCTGCCACCAAGGTCTAGTCCTCCGGTCTGTTGAACGCTAGTTCTTGTGGCCTGACAGCTTGGCCTTGATGGCTCATATTAGCAGGGCATGTCCTCTGTCTCACCCACCATGTCTTGATCTTTTTAGTAAGAGGGGAGGATCCTTAACGGTCTATGCTTGCCCTCACTTGCCTTCACAGCTTGTTGTTTCTTGGGGCTCTGCCTCCCTGTACACTCTGTTGTTACACCAGCCAGATCTTATGGTCTAGCCAGGTTGTGTGCCATCAGACGATAGAATGGCAGCATTCTCACAATTGGTCAGTTAGTCGGGCTCTGGCCTGGTAAATAGTCCCGATAGGTTAATGAAAGTCTCCCTCTGCCCTGTCATGGTAGTGTGGGGATTTGGCATGTCAAGCTCCCTGTGTCTGGGTTTCTCACTAAATGACTGTTAGGCCTTTAATTGCAAGTCCGTGGGTTATTATGACTATGCCCAGCAGGCTAGTCTGTCAAGTCCTTAATTTTCTCTTGTCCGGTGTCGTTAACCCTCACTGCAACTATGAGGCCCTGGACCCCATCCCAGAACGGACTCACAGATCGTTGCTCTTGCCACTCCAGTGAGGCAAATGCTGTCTCTCTGCACCTCCACATCATGCTGTATGCTCCTCCACCGTGTGGTCCCAGTCCTTCCATCCTGAGGGTCCTCTGAGCCTCAAATTAGATGAGCAGGTTCTGCTCTGCCCCTTTTGCCCCTGCCAGGGCAGTCGTTGCTCTGGGTCAACACTCTCACAGTCATGATCCTGGGCCTCTGTTCTCCCTTCAGCTGGTGTGGGATGCGTCTTTCTGACATCAGCCACTGCACACCAGCCAACCTGGATCTGGCACGAGCTTGTAAAGTGCAGCAGCCATAGTGCTTGGAGCTCTTTGGATCACACTGACAGTGTCTTCACTGGTAAGTTCCCACTCCCTTGGGGACCCTTGGGGACTGATAGCAGTGCTTCTTGAGGTCTTGTGTCCCCTGTATGGGTTGTCGGGACTCCTACAACAGACATCTTTTTCAATAAATCAGTTTAATACCAGGCCTTCATCAAGAAAGTCCACATGGATGAGGATGACATGTTCCTCAACCTCAGAGTACCAAAATCTAAAGAAAGAGAAGTTCCTGAAGACTGGAAGAGGGCCAATGTTGTGCCCATCTTCAAGAAGGAGAGGAGAGAGGACCTGGGCAACTATAGGCCAATTAGCCTAACTTCTATACCAGGGAGAATCCTGGAAAAATTCATCGAGGAGTCTGTGTGCAATGAGCTTGCAGAAGGTAGGATTCTGAATGACAGCCAGCATGGCTTCATCATGGGCAGGTCTTGTCTTACCAATCTTACCTCCTTCTACAACCAGGTAACTCACCACCTGGATAAGAAAGAGCAGGTCAACATTGTATATCTAAACTTCCACAAGGCCTTTGGTCTGGTATCCCATGGTGTTCTCACAGGAAATTTGAAGGATTAAAGGCTTAACTGCTCAATAGTTAGGTGGGTAGAAAGCTGACTGTGGGGTAGGACCCGAAGAGTTCTTCGAATGAACGGATCTGTGTTGTCCTGGCGAGAAGTGGCCAGTGTTTGGTCCAGTGCTTTTCACCATCTTTATCAATGATTTGAATGTGGGGGCAAAGAGTTCACTGGCCAAGTTCATGGATGACACCAAGTTATGGGGGATCATGGTCACTCTTGAAGATCGGCTGCAGATACAGGTGGATCTAGACAGGCTAGCAAATTGTGTGGATCAGAACAAGATGAACTTCAACATTGAGAAGTATAAAGTGCTTCATCTGGGGATGAACAATCCCCGACATACTTACAGGCTCGATGGCTCCAAAATGACTAGCACCACAACTGAAGGGGACCTAGGGTAATAATAGACCATAGTATGAATATAAGCTGTTAGTGTGATGCTGTAGCCAACAGGGCAAACAGTACTCTGGCGTGCATCAACCAATGCATCTCTAGCAAAACCAAGGAAGTGATTCTTCTACTTTACTCAGCATTGATGAGACCGCAGCTGGAGCACTACATCCGGTTCTAGGTGCTACACTTCAACAAAGACATGGAAAAGCTTGAGAGAATCCAGAGAAGAGCCACCCGTATGATCAGAGACTTGCGAGGCAAGCCATACCAGGAAAGGCTGAGGGACTTGAACAACTGTTCACCAAGGCACCCTTGGGGAAAACCAGGAGCAATGGCCACAAACTCCTGGAAAACCATTTCAGGCTTAACACTAGAAAAGACTTCACAGTTAGTGTCCAGACTGGAATAAACTTCCTCCAGAGGTGGTGCAATCACCTTCCCTAGAAATCTTAAAGAGGAGGGAGGATGGTCACCTCGCTGGAATCACCTGACCCCAGTTGTCTTTCCTGCCTAGTGCAGGCGGGCTGCCCTGATGATCTTGCGAGGTTCCTTCCAGCCCCTTGCAATCTATGAATCTAAATCCAATGGATTTAGATAGAAGTGAGGTTACCTTGGCAGCAAACTGGAATATCAGCTGAAACTGGTGGGTCCCTATATTCAAGATGCATCCTGCATGTCTCACCTGTCACCTACAGGCCCAAGTATTATGTACCTGTTTAATGAAATGAAATAGCAATAATTACTGACACTGCATAAGAAATCAGACATAGCAACCAATAGCAGTTAAATGTACTCTTCCCACACACTGAATGCTAAGAATAACATGTGGAAGGTGATGACCTAATGTGAATAATCTTGTTTCCCCCCCCACTGCATCAGTTTCATTTCCCTTATTCAGATGTTCTCACCATGAGCCTGACTCTGATCTCATTTATGTAAGCGTAAATCAGAAATAAGTCCACTGAAGACAGTGAGATTGTTCGTGTGAGTAAGCACTTCCATATTCAGGGACTAAATTTAAAACAAGAGCATGAAACACAATCATGATCTGATGTTAGGACATTTACATTGGTTTAAGTCCACTGGTTTAACTTGTTCTTCTGATTGGTACTAACATAGGACCAGATCTCAAGGTTGTGAATATACCTGCTAACTTCCATGGAACTAACATACTTAAAATTTAAGCAACTGCTAATGTGATTTTCTGGATCAAAACTGTAACAGATTTGGGCCTAAGGGATGGATATATGGACAGTGGAAATAAATCAGTGGGAATACTTCTATGAGTAAAAACTGGGCATGGGAGAGAGGCTTGCAGGAGTAGGTTTAAAAAGGACAAGGGGAAAATAGGAATTTATTGAGACAGGCTGAGATAGTCCAGAGAGAAATCTGTCCTGACCCAGTTTGTGCTCGCATTGATTCCTTGGACATGTAAAAGACTTCAGTTTTTAAAGACCTCTCTGGCTTTTCTGATTTACTCACGTAGGATACACAATTTGTCCAATGATGAGCTTTCAGTGTGAGCACTGGCTTTCAAAGCAGCGTGAGGTTAAAGGGTGGGGATGATAAAATGTTCAGAATACTTAAGACTTGTCAAATGTGTGAGTTAAGTTGATAATCTGTGTGTGTTACAGAAATATAATAATGACTGGTGGATAGGAAGGCTGGTTAAAGAGGGCTGTGAGATCGGTTTTATTCCAAGTCCACTTAGACTGGAGAACATCCGAATTCAACAGGAACAGAAGAGAGGACGTTTCCATGGAGGGTAAGAATGCCCTCAGCTGGGTAATTTTTGTGTAGTTTTATTGATATGTTTTTTATGCATCGCTCAGTCTTCACCTGTCTAAATGTTGAATTTGCTTTTGGATTCCAGAATGGAAAGGGGGTAATATAAACAGGTTCAAAGAAGATGATAAGAATCCTAGATCTCTTGCTGTCGTTAACACAAAGGGCAAGAAAGACCCAGGTGTAGGCATTGAAAAACAAGTTACATAGTGGAGAGACTAACAGTTGGAGGGTGCCAGGGATTTAGAAGTCTGAGTCCATGCAGGCTTAGATCAACTGAGTGAGGTCACTCAAGGACCTGAAGATTTTGTTCTACCCCCTCATATTCTTAACATTTTTAGTTCTAACTATTAAATGTGTGTGGTGGGAACAGCACAGAGACATGTATTACAGCACCTGTGTCAGTGCAACCTTTTCTTTAAGAGATGATCTCTTAGACTGACTTTGCAGCCTCTGCACCCCAGGTGGCTCCTTCCTTCTTTTCGTCCTTCAGCCTGTCTTCTCATTGTCTCCCAACTCCTACATATGGGTGCTGTGGATCCCTTGGTTACTATGGACTTGAACACTGGCCTGGGGGCCAAAAACTACTAATGCTAATCTCAACTCTGGCCTTGTAACGCTGTCTTGTAGGGACTGTCATCTTGTAGTGGCTAACTGTGCAAACTCAAGATTCACCTTAGAGCCAGAGCATAACTGTGGCTTACTTTGAGGAGGATTATACAGACACATAGGTAATGAGGAGGTTAGAGCCTTTAAAGAGGGGCATAGTAAAAGAAAGGCAAGACAATTAAATTTAGTCATAAGCAGTGGCAAAAGTGAAGCACATAATTTAACCTATATGGTGCTGGCAGGAAATTGGTATACTAATGTATTTAATCAAGGTCAGGAACCATTTCAGAGGTAAGTCATTGGAGGAAATATTTAAAATAAACGAACAGCATTAACTCTGGTTTATCTAATTTGCTGTTAGCCTGAAACAGTCCTAAAGTTAGCCATGTTGCCTCTGTGGGTGGAAAAAGGGGTGACTAACGTGGATAAACAGTACAGTAAAAGAGAATACAGAGTGATGACCCTAGAGATGGTATTCCCCTAGGCCAGATTCTATGTTGGTACATATAGATATAACTCCACAAATCCAGTACAGCTGCACTTTTTTACAGCAGCAGAGCATATTTGTCTCCTGGAATTCCTTGATAATTAGATCAAGGTGAGAGGAGGAGCACCTACACGAGATGCTATTGCATAGTAGTTATTGCACATTTATTTAGTACTTGTATAATCAAGTACTAAATAAATGTACAGTAGCCAGAGTTATTGCACAGTAGTGTCACTTGCAGTAGCTCCAGAGAAAGCTTTTTAAGTGACACGACTGTGCAGTAACCTAATAATACTGTGCAGTAGCATATTAGCACTGTTAGCACAGTATTATTCAGGTACCTCAGTCAGTATCTCATGTAGTTGTACCCAGGGAGAATGAAATAAAAATTATGAAGGAAAAGAGGAAAAATAAATGTTTGTAATAGTTTGTATTAGGATCCATGAATCTTTCTGAAAGAATTTGAAAACCATTCATGAATTAAAAAGAGAGAATTAACTTTTGACTGCCTTTCAACACATAATAAAGGGTTATTGCATGCTGATCATGAGAATCCTGTGTGACCCTAAGAATTCAGTCTGCTGTACTTCTAGGCAACTTCATTCAGAGATTCAATAGAATTCAGTTTTTGTCTTCTGTGGTTGGAAGTTTTTTGTACAGAAGGACTCCAGAGCTTTGGCTACCTGGTAGGACAAAATGTGTTTGGTGTGTTCTTCCAAAGAAAAATGCAGTTCCTGTTTTGATTGCCATACTGCATAATAGAAAGGCAAAAGCTATGAATTTATATTCATACTAACAATTGTTTGGCCCACTGAAGGAAAAAAATTCAAGTCCCAAAACATTTTTAAACAAATAGCTTATACTGTAAGACCTCACCCTTGCAAAGGGATCCACCTGTATGAATGCTTTTGCTGGGGTAGAGACTCACTGAAGTCGATGGAATTCTGTGTGGATGAATCCATTTGTATCATGATGGCATTCACGCTAGTGTGAGCAAAGACTGATTACGTGGTGTTTCTGGTGAATTAAGCAGGGCCTATAGTTTAGAATTCATGCTCATTCCAAACTTTTGGGAGGGTAGAGAGTGACAGTGCAGCACCTTGGAATCTGGACTTGGATAGACATCCCCTTATCATTTATATGCAGTCATTTCAGGCCTCTGGGTCTGCCTTAAATCGTAGCTCGCAGATATGTTCCAGCGTATTTGAAACAAACAAAGAGAGCTTTTCTGCAGGACAAAGGAGGTGCAGAGCCTCCTAGTTATTTTGTGGTTGTACAGCAGGTTTAAGTGCTGATAGGGCTGTGTGAAATTTCAGTGCCATTTTGTTTCCTTTTGGATTTGGGTGGATGGTGCAACACCAAATTTGAAATGGAACTCAAGGTTCTGAAACAGCTTTGAAATGAAACGGGCCATCTGAAATGTTTTGGAAATTTTCCGAAACAATTTGGATGTTTCTGAAATGTTTCAGAGCTGTTTTGAGCTGTTTTGGAGGCGGGCTTGCAGGGAAAGAAACTAAGGGGGAGATGGGGGGAGGAGGAGGACTGCTCTGATATTGACATCTGTAGCTGGCCAGTGACAATGATCTGTCCCTGAGGTCTCTTCCAATCCCAGTGCTCTGAGGGAGGGGCAGAGAAGCACCATAATAAGGCTGCTTGTAAATTGCTGTGTGCCATTTTGCAGCTGCATCTGTGAGTGTCTGGAGCAGCAGCAGAGAGCAGCATCTGTAAGCTTTGCTTGCAGCTTGATAGTGCCTTACTACCAAGTTGTAGCCATTGCTGTTAATCCTTTCCTATTTACCCTTGCCTACCCTTCCCCAAAAATCTTGTTATTTGTTCTTTTTTCTCTCCCTAACAAAAAGGAAGTTGTGCTTTGCCTGGAAAGCACTCAATACACATCCATTTATTACACATACACTCACACAGACGCACATTTTTTTCCAGCACATGAAATACGAAGCGTATTAGAAAGGCAGGTGCCAGGTCTTCTGGCCGGGGAGGGAGAGGGAGAGCTGTAAGTTCCTCCCACCCCCCAAATTTAGACTCAGCCTCTTCCCTAGCACTCGCAGACATGAGGCTTCTGGTGCTAGTGGCAACAAGGTGGTGGGACCAGTGCCTGCATCTGCACCCCCTCCAATAACACCAGCCATAATAATAACCCCCAGCACCACCAGCATGGCAAGTAGCACCAGCATGATGACAGTCTCCTCCACCCCCATTTCAGTTCCCAGCCTGAGCCTTCCGGTGCCAGAGCGGGGCTGGATCTGGAAGCAGGGGACCCAAACACCCTAACAAAAGAAATTCTGGGGACAGAGAAGGAATCTGAGTTTGTGCTCCACTCTCCTCCAGGTTCCCTTAGAGCCAGATCTTCTTCCCTGGAAGGCAGTTTGGAGGAGGTTGAGGTAGAAGTTGAGGAGGCTAGTGGCTCAGCTGAATCCGCTCCTGTTGTTGTGCCTCTGCCTGCTGAGGAGGGGGATCAGGCAGGATCCACACCCGCACCCCAGAAGTGAGGGGGTAGTGTGGTGTGGGACGATTTTGAGGTGGCAGATGATCCCAGGTATGCTATCTGTCTGCACTGTTGATGTAAGACCAGCCAGGAAAGGAAGAGAAACACTACAGCACCACGGGGATGCTGATGCATCTCTGCAGGCACCACCCCCTTGCTCTTGGTCCTCCTCAGCCTGGCACCAGTGGGAGCGTGCCCAAAAAGAAGTCCCTCTTTCACTCCAAAGCCCCCGTCCCCAAGAAGCAGAGGCAGGCCACCCTGGAACAGCGGGTAAAGGAGGACACATGGGGGGGGTGTTGCAAAAGTGAGCAGGATCACCCAGAGCATTGGGGAGATGCTTGCTCTGGATAGCCTGCTCTTCTCCCTAGTTCAGGAGCCAGGGTTCAGGCGGCTCATGGCGCTCATGGCCCCATCCTTCCAAGTGCCTGCATGCACCCCCTTCAGCAGGATGGTGGTGCCTTCCCTGTATGAGGCATGCAGGGAGTACTTGAGGAAGGAACTGCGCAAGGCAAGTTCGCAGGTGGCCTTGAACTTCACCTTGGACACCTGGAGCTGCTGGGGTAGAGATCATGCCTACGTCTGCCTCACATGGCACTGGTGCCATCAGTCAGGCCATTGGTGGGCTCTCTTTCACGTGGAGGTGATGGATGAGTTCCACACAGCAATGGAGATCATGGGGGCTGTGAACCGCATGGTGCAGGGGTCGCTTGTTGAGCTGGGCGAGCTCACCCGTGGGTTCATGGTCACCAACAACAGGCCAACATGGTCAAGGCGGTCTGTGATGGTAACTTTGTTGGCATCTGCTATGTGGCACACAAGTTCCACCTCATAGTCAGGGGTGCCTTGGAGCGGGACAGGGCTGCCAGTAACAACACCATCAAAACCGACCAGCTCATTTTGAAGTGGAGGACGATGGCGGGCTGCTTCCACCACAGCATCAAGGAGGGCAAGATGCTGTGGGACAGACAGGTGGAGCTGAGCATTCTGCAGCACAAAATCATGCAGGATGTGTTGACTCAGTGGAACTCCACATACCTCATGCTGATGGAAAGGCTGATGGAGCAACAGAAGGCCACCCATGAGATGGTCTTGCTCAGGGAGGTTGGGATCAGCGGCCCCCTAAATAGAGCTGAGTGGGATACCATCTCCCATATCTTGGTGGTCCTCAAGCCATTCCTTGAGACCACTGAGACTGTCAGCACTGGCGATGCCCTCCTTAGCCAGGTGATCCCCATAGTGAGGGAACTTGAGAACCAAATGGAGAATTTCCAGGGGATCAGTGTTCCTGGTTGGGGCAAGCCGCTGTCACCAGATGTGCAGGCACTGGTGAAGCAGCTGAAGGAGGTCATCAAGAAACAGCTGGATGGTATGGTCCATGTGGCCATACGTGACCTGAGAGTGAAGGGGAGCATGTGCTCCAGCAATCATTGGATGGAGGTGCTGGTGAACAGAGTCCAAGAGGCAGAAGGGCACATGCAGGGGGACGTAGAAGAGGGGGATCCACTTTCCCATGCCAGCACTCCCAGCAGCAGCCAGTCTCCTTCATGACAGGTGCTGCCAATGTGGGCCAAAGGCATGGCTCCAATGTTGGGGTCCAGACACACCAGACCCCCAGCATCGGGCAGGTAGCGCCGAGGCCTCTCGGCAAGGACGTGGAGCCACTGGACTGCGACCCCTTGGCCTATTGGGCAACCCACAGCCACATGTGGCAGGATCTGGGCACGGTTGCCCGGGAACACCTGTCCTCTCTACTGACCAGTGTTCAGCATCCCTGGGGATGTTGTGACACCCCACCACACCGCATGGATCCTGGTTTGGTGGAGCAGCTGGTGTTCCTCAAGGTCAGCCTCCCACTGCTGAGATTCCCCAATCTCCACCTGCAGATGGAGTGAGTGCCACCCTCCTCACTCCATCCACACCTGTTTCCTTTTTTTTTTTTTTTTATTAACCATTTAATGCCCTCCTCCCAGAGCTGGAGGTGGCACTCACTGCATCACCTGCCAGCAGGGGAAGAACATGTCCCTGCTGAGCTCCTGTGCCAGGACAAACTTGGAGGTATGGGCTGGGGCTATAGGGAAAGAGGAGGCCCCAGGTCCTGGGCATGACCTAAAACTGCACCCTGCCAGGGTTGGGAGGCCTGGTGGGACTGCCAGTGGTGTGGCAGCTCCTGGAAATGCCAGGACCAAAGATCTCCCTGGTGAAAGGCGGATAGGAGGTGCCATAAACTCCAGACACCACACGCAAGCACAGAGTCCTGGTTAGGGAAAGCCCAGACCTGTAAGATCTTTGAGACCTGAGGCTTGCTGATTGCAGTGGAATTGTGAGGCTCCAGGTGAGCTTAGCTTAGCTGCCTGGGATGCCATCTGCAAGGCATGGGCTTTTGGGTTTAAAACCCTTTGTCAGGCTGAGGAAGTGTCTAATTCAGGAGTGGGCAAAATACAGCCCGCAGGCCATTCTGTCTGGCCCGCAAGGCCATTCTGTCTGGCCCACAGGGCCCCTGAAAAATTTAGAAAATTAATATTCATCTGCCCTTGGTTCCTGTCAAAAATAACAGGAACCAAGAGCAGTAGGACCCAGGGCTTCTACAACAGCGGGGCTCTCCTGGCCCCACCCCCTCAGCCAGAAGCCCCAGCTGGGGCTTCTGACCTGGGACCATGTGGCTGCCCCATGCCAGAACCGCAGGGAAGGGGGAAGGGGGTGGGGGAAAAGGGGAGGACCCCGGCCAGGGAAGGAGCCCGGGGAAAAGTGGCTTGGGAAAAAGCTGAGCATGGGTGGGGGAAAGTGGCCCCTTGCCCACTCTGTGGTCAGTGGCCCGCGCTGCAGCTGCTTGCAGCCCGCATGGGTCTGCCTGTGTGTGCTCCGGACAGCTCCATGTGGGCTCTGAGCGGCTGCAGCACGGGGCACTGGGCAGGGGAAGGGCCGCTTTTCCTCTGGGCTCAGCTTTTCCCCGGGCTCCTTCTTGGCGTGGAGGAAAGTGGCCCCTTGCCCGCCCCGTGGCCAGCACCCTGTGCTACAGCTGCTTGCAGCCTGTGTGGGGCTGTCCAGATCAGGCACAGGCAGCCCCAGGTGGACTGCGAGTGGCTGCAGCTTGAGGCGCCAGCTACGGGGCAGAGAGGGGCCACTTCCCTCTCCCCCCCACACTCGGCACCACCTTATGACCCAGCCCCACTGCCAGCCTGGGCCCCGCACTGGCTCTGAGTTCGCTTGTAGGGGCTGTGTATGGTGACAGCAGCTGCGGCCCCCCTACTTGCCGCGCTGGGCAGTGTTTGCCACCACTGCCTGTGGGCTGCCCAGCACGCACTCTGGGTGAGCAGCAGCAGCCAACACTGTCTAGAGCGGCACGCGGGGGGGCCACAGCTGCTGCTGCCGACCAGCAAGCCTAGAGCCGGCTTGGAGCCCAGGCTGGTAGCAGGGCCAGCTTACAAGCTGGTGCTAAGCATGGGGAAAAGTGGACCCTTGCTCACCCCATGCCCAGCACCCCTCACTGTAGCTGCTTGCAGCCCGCGTGGGGCTGCCTGTGCCTGCTCCAGACAACCCTGCGTGGACTGTGAGCACCTGGAGCAGGGAGCGCTGGCCATTGGGGCAGGCAAGGGGCCGCTTTTCCCCACGCTCAGCACCAGCTTCGTCCCTGCTGGTGAGCAGGGAGTCAGAGCTGCATGCTGCCCCCCACCTGTACTGTGGGGCTGGGGAGCACTGGGAGTGAGTGGGCAGGGAGCCAGCAGGAGCATGGAGCCTGCACTGGTGTCCCCGGGCCATTGCCGGGGGGGCCCAAGGCAGGGTGGCAGAAGAACGGGGTCCCAGCTGGCAGGGGCTCTATGGAGCCGGGCCAGCTCTCCCTCTTCCTGCTGGTGCAGCCCAGCCTGGCTCCACAGACCCCTGCCAGCCTGTGCCCCGCTTTGGGCCCCACCAGTGCTGGCCCTGGGACATTGGTCCCAAGATGGTGACCAGGGGGCGGGGCACTTGTCAAATGACGGGGCTACCCATGCGGTCCTCGACAGCCTGCCAAAACTGGGTAAGCGGCCCTGTGCCTGAAATAATTGCCCACCTCTGATCTAGTTGGTATGTGTGTGCTCTTCCTGGATGGAAGGAATAGTAAAGAAGCCAGAGGCTGGTCTGGCATGCAATGCAGGCAAGAAAACCAGTCAGTGAAAATGGAAATAGAGGCATCAGGGAGTGAGAGACAGGCTGGCGGGGGGGTAGGGGGATGTAGCAGGTAAAAGTGGAAAGCTACCTGCTACCTGGGGAGTCAGATGTCCCACAGGTTGTAGTGTGTTATAAATCCAGTGTCTATATTGAGTCTATCCAGGAAGACTGCTGGTGGCTCGGCGGCCCCAGGAAATGCCAAGACTGCAAACCTCCCTAGGGAAAGGAGGGTAGGAGCAGGAGGCACCTGATAATTTCCAGCTACTGCACAGTTCTGGCTGGGGAAAGCCCAGACCGGTAAGATCTTTGAGAGGCCTGAGACTTACTGGTTGCAGTGGAGTTGTAAGGGTGAGAACAGGGGCTACCATCCCTGCAGTTTTCACCCTGCTGCACCTTACACACGCACAGTCTCACATGTCACGGGTTTTGCTTGTCAGCAGTTTGAGGTGCAGTTTCCCAGAAACCCCTACACCTGTCTCCTTGAAACTTGGCAGGCTTCACAGCCTCAGAAGGGGCTAGCATCCCTGCACATTTCATCCAAAGCAGGCAAGAAATGACAAAGTTATAGGCAGTTTTGTGATTCCCCATTATAGCCCGTGGCTGAAACACCATCGAAATTCCAAAACAGCTCCGAAACAGTTTTGGCTGAAACAAAACGGGACAATGATTCGAAACACCAAAACGAATCACTGTCCCTCCGAAACGCCGAATCCTAAATGAAATGAAACACAGCTGTTTCGAACAGCCCTACGAAACATCGAAACAAAACACTGTCTCTCCAAAATGCCAAATATGAAACTGAAATGAAACGCAGGCATTTTGCAGAGCCCTAGAGCAGGGCTAAGTGAGTTTATTCCTCAGAATGGTTTGTGTTAATGAGACTTTGTAATGCCATAGGAAATCAGGTGGAAATTCTTCTTCGAGTCTTGGAGAAATGGTGTCTGGCACGTTTCGGGCTACACCCACTTCTACAGGTGAGTTTGGATTTTGTTTACAGATGCTATTTCTGAAACTTATTCTAAAAATTGCAAAAGAAGAATGTGATACTCTTTTCTCCTCTTTTTGCTAATTTATTAAAATATTCCACAGTGGAGTCCTTGCATTTTAAACCCTCCCTAAAATAATTGGAGGAAGAGAAAAAGTCTCTGTTCCTGAACTTGTAAGTGACAGTTAAAGAATAAGAGAACTGGAGAATCAGGAAAGAGTCACCAGTTATAATAATGTTGATCAGAAAGAAGTCCCAGTGATGTAACTTGAGCGCACTGGCAGAGTGATCTTTGTGTGAAAATCTTGTGATTATTGGGTTAAACACTTTTTAACCAAATTTTTGTTTTGGTCTTTTAGCAAAACAGAAACAAAAAGTGGTAAGTAGCTTTTAATCTACTACATGGTTCCTAGGATTTGCATGCAGCATCTGTTTTAGATTATGAATTGATTGGATACATATTTCTTCCAGACAGAACATGTTCCTCCTTATGATGTTGTGCCCTCCATGAGGCCTGTTGTCTTAGTGGGCCCATCGCTGAAAGGGTATGAGGTATGTATTCCGGTTAGTTGAAGTTACTTATCATTTCCTAGCACGCTTTTGGCTGGTCTGCTTTGTGTTCCTCCACTTTTTGATTATGAAATGATCTTAGTTGAACTACTAAGTAGTACTCTCTATGTAGGATCTAAGGCCTTGTCTCCATGCAGAAGTTGCACTAGGTTAATTTAAATTGGCAAAGTCCAGAACCAGTTTAAACCAGTGTGGAAGGCTATGTGGATAATTCTATTATGGTTTAAACCAGGCTTCTTTTGGTCTAGCTTAAACCAATTCCACATCAGTTTGAACTAAACTGGAATAAGTTAGTTTAGATGAGAGTGAAGCTTGAATCTCCTTGCAGTTATACTGCTTTAAAAATGATGGGACTCCATTGACTTCAGTTGAGTTATTTGTAATTATAACTGGAATGAAAATAGACTTTGGGGCCTGTTGACATTGCATTAATTTTTTTTAATGCGTGTTAATCACTGGTGGTGCTGGGGGAGGAGCAGCCCCTCTCCCCTCACTGCTCTGTGCCTGCCTGTGTGCTGGGGGAAAAGCGGCCCCTCCCCCTCACTTCCAACTCACACACGCACGCGCACACATACACACACACGTGTCCTGGGAGCAAACTCAGCAGCTGGATACAGGTAAGTGTATGGGGAATGGTGGGGGTTGGAGGGCCAGGTCTTGGGGACTGTCTATGGTTTGTGCATGTGTGAGTACATCCAAAAATCTTTATAATAAATTGAGATTTGATTATTGCTTAACTGCTTGATTAAAATTGCGATTAATTACAACTATTTTTTAAATTTCACAATTAATCACAATCAATTATTTTAATTGTTCGACAGCCCTAATCTGAATCTAAACAAGCACGTACAAAGCTTTTTGCTTTAGTTTATCTAAATAATATTTACATGAGAGTTTAGTTAAGATAGTGGTATTTTCTCATGTAGACAAGACCTTATTTAAATTGGCACAAGTTTTGTGTGTAGACAAGACTGAACTACCCACAGTTACAAAGGAACTTTCGATCTTCATTATCCCCGATTTAGCCATTAAGAAGATAAGGCACATTAGGAAATGTTGGATAGTAGAGACTGGCCAAGCTGGAGTACTCCAGTGTGGCCACTCTAGAAGCTGACTTTTTAGAACCATCATTATCACTTAGGCTTGGTTTTCAGAAAATTATCAAATAAAAACATAAGTATAAAGAGAATCGTAGCCCACCTGAACCATCACCCTCTGCTGAGCGTGATATGTACAGCAGAGTCTCCCTAATATACACAAATAACCAGGACATTCTTTCTTGAAAGTTTTTCAGAGTTAACAAGGCAGGCTTGGATTAAACAAAACTAGCTCAGAGTGTCACCATGCATTCCTTTGTACCATGGAGATGTACGTAGTACATAACACATTGCTAACTTGAAGAACAAGCTTAAATTCATCTCTGTTCAGCAATGAATTTTAGTATGCACTTATATTTATATATCTCCTAAGAGCCTTGCTTAATTGGTATCTATATGAATTTAAAATCTAAGATGTGCTTCATTTAGAATAATTAAGATTGTAGTACTTTATGGTATACTGGTATACTGCAGTGCATTTATTTCATAAAAATAGTATGGTTAGGGCACAATTCTAATCTTAATACAGAACTCTGCTCTTAAATAAGACTTTGTGGAGGTGAGACTTACTGGATTTGCAGATTAACAAACTGAGAATTGGAGAGGCTCTACTGTATCTAATTTTCTCCTGGCTGCCTTTTAATTACATGTAATGTAACATTACCTTCAAGGCATAACAATTCATCTTTTGCATAACTGAATTGACTTTGGTGCTATACCACAAGTGAATTTTGCCATGGGGCTTTTGAATCTGGAGGGTTTTTATTGCTTGTTAAGAGTAGACTGTGCTACAGATTAAACCCAACCATTTTTACATGCATCAGTTAGTTATGGATATTTATTTCAGTTATATATTATAAATTATTCATTTTATATATAGAGAGACATATCTATATGTCTAGTATATATCTATAATATATAATTGAATAATCTATCTATCTATGTGTATAGATAGTATAGAAACAAATCTCTGTGTAATATATGTGGGAAAGTTCTTTTCACATTTTTCTGGTTAAAGTCTACAAAAAGCATTTGAAACTAAAAAAAAAAAAAAAAAAAGGGAAAAAAAA